CTAGCTGGCCTCAGTTACACAAACCTGTCCGCTTAACACAACAGATATTTTGAAGAATGTTGGTAACCAAACAGTTGTTGGACCCCATTGACTTGCATAGCATAGAACTATCGCTTTAAGCAGTGTTTCCCAACCCTGTTCCTGGTGGCACACCAACAGGGCACGAATTCTTTGTCTCCCTTATCAAACACACCTGATTCAACTCATCAGCTCATAATCAGATGGGTTAATGTCTGAGCTGATGAGTTGAATCAGATGTGTTTGATTAGGGAGACAAAGAATACGTGCAGTGTTGGTGTGCCGCCAGGAACAGGGTTGGGAAACTCTGCCTTTAAGAACAGTGTTGGATGACAAACAATTGAAACAAAAGGCTACTGTTTAGAGGTAAGCTACTGCAGTGTCATGACAATTAGCGTCCATTCACACCGAATGTTTTCTGTGCATCCTCAGTTTTTAGTTTTTGATGTGAACATGCGCTAAATGGATGTCTTTGACACTTTCCCGCCCTTTTTGTCTAAAGACAATTTCGTTTTGCCCAGAATCTGAAGTCTTATAGAAATGCTAGTAATGTGAATGCTAAACTAACTAGAAAATAAAAAAATTCTCTCAGAGTTGAGTTTTTTTTTTTTACATATATTGAATTTTTGAACTTTTTACGGGTTGTTTTTGCCCAAAAAATGCCTTTCTGAGTACCCTCAGAAGAAATCCTGCAGGCGTCGCTTTTATCTATTAGTATAAGATCAGTTCCTTCTCGTCTACATATTAACCACAATTAGGCCATAAAAGCCCATAATTCTCCGTCATACTCATCCTGCATTTTTCCCACAGAATTGGTACACCCATCATTATATATCCTCCGCCCCTCGCTTGTTAAATTTTCTTTTTGGCTAATTGGTTTGGATGTCAGATACACAGCCTGAGCTACATTTAGATATTGATTTGCTTTCCAAATCTGCACAGAAAATGCATACAAGATTCCTATAAGCAACACGGCTCAACCGAAACACGGATGAAGTTCCTAGTCGTTAAAAATCGAAAAGCATTTACTTGTATCATATTAATGTTATATATGCCAATTTTATTTCAGGTTGTAAAGTCTATGACATGTACTGTGTCTCATTTATTTGTGGTTGAAGTGCAATTCATTCGGCCTCTATTCAGATTTCATCTAACAAATAGGCTCAAGTGCCAACACTAGGCTCGGTGCCTAGTTTTACCATTTCTGAAAACATTTGAAGAGTTCAGATGCAAAAGCCTCTAAGTGCCATTTGAAATTTTCTTCTAAAATGATCATTTTTATCAAGCTTGTATATTTAAGTTCAGTAATTTCACTTAAATGGCAATGAAGATTACCTATTAATTGTCATTTTAAGTGAAATTACTGAACTTAAATATACAAGCTTGATAAAAATGGTCATTTTAGAAGAAAATTTCAAATGGCATTTAGAGGCTTTTGCATCTGAACTCTTCATTTACTTTCCACATTAATACTATTAAAGCCAATTCCGAGAGTCTGTGACATGTACTGTGCGATTCTTCATTTTGACCATCGTAGTCCTGTACGTTTTATATATTTGATACGCCGCTGCGTTTTGCGTATTGTTTCGTTTTTATTTTACTCTGGAACTTCCTGTCTTCAGCATGTTTGCTTTAAACACCCCAGAGAGGGAATAATTTTCCCCAACTCTAATTTGTAAAATTGCATCGATCGTGGCTGGCAGGAGATATGCCGGTGGATTCATACAGAGCGAAGGATTTATTTCATTTTTAACAGGACACTGACACAATTCTCATTACCGGACAAAAATCATTAGCAGCTCCACAGCTACACTCAGACAAATCGAGTAACTGTTAATTTTTCCGCCGAGGAGCCATGGGATCCGTGTGTGTGTGTGAGAGAGAGAGAGGGAAAGTGAAGGGGGGGTTGGATCGGGTGCACAAAAAAATATAATAAATTAAAATGGACGACATGAATTGAGCGCCGAATGTCAAACACTGTCAACAAGATGGCTCTCTGTCACGGGGAGAATTTGAGACATTAACAGCTTCTGTCATTCTGCTGACAAAATGGTAGCAGAGATTTCCCAGGGTGCCGAGATGACTGCTGGCGTTTGTCAACAAGCCGCTGTCAGCGCGGAGAGAGAGAAAGAGAGAGCGCGCGCTAGAGAGGGAGAGAAGGCATACACAGTGTCACTGACAGCTACCACACCAACATCCCATGAGTCCTCGCCACCCAGAAAGAGAGGGAGAACAAGTGTGAGGATGGAGGAGAAGAGGGAGAGATGGATGGATGGATAGATAGAAGGAGGGGTGCAGGTCTCTGGTGCACCTTTCATATAAAATTGCAGGAGGAAAATGAGCTGTCACTCCAATTCCCAGGATGCTTTGCTGTTTAGCATAAGTGCGCTGTGTGGGCTGCTGTCGGACAGACTGACTCAGAGAGATAATTAACTAAAGCTGCAGTTTTCCTCCTCTCCTCTCCCTCCCTCCGCCAGACGCCTTCTCCAGCGCTCATCTGCATTTTTGCCAGAGGCGAGCGGTTAGCACAGGAGCCGGGTGGAGAGAGGGTAAGAAGCCAATTAGTCAGGTGGATGGATGAATGATTGACAGCAGGCTGCTACCTGAGTCCCACTCTACATTAATGCCGCTGTGCTCGGCTCGGCCTCAAACATGCGCCGGTTCTCGCGTGTGTGTGTGTGTGTGTGTACGCGCAGGCCCGTCGTCGCACGCCACGCCGAGATCACCCTGCGCCCCGGCGGCTTTGCGCGCTTCCCGTCCTGTCTGTCTCGCTCTCATCTAAACCCTTTGTGTCAAGTCCGAGTCTTCTTTTGTAGCTTAACACCCTCCACCCTCGACGTCTCGGCTACTTTAAGCATTTCCCCGGATCTGTTTGTAGGGATCGTTTAGGATGCCGATGGCCGTATAACAATCTCGCGAGTTGCATGGTGTGGTAGGCTCCTGTGATCTCACACAGACAACTGCAGAGTCTTGACCATCTCTTAACAGTTGATGCTAAAGATAAAAGCTCGGAGAACCAGCTCTTTTGTTCTGAATTCATGTCGAGATCGTATCCTGGTGCGAGCGTAAGCTTTCACTGAACCACAGACGTCCTGCAGCGGTGTCCTGACAGCATGAAGATCGGGATGATGCGATAAATCACATTGTGTCTCATGCTCCACCACCTTTACTCGAGATCATTTCAGCCACGTTTCTATCAGATGACTCCAGCGTGATGCCAAGTCCTGATCCGGTTAGAAAAGGTTTTTGTCATGCCACAAATGAAAACAACAGTCTATTCAATAGGTTGTATTTTTGTTTTTCAGAGCTGTATTTTCAACGAATCTGTTAACTAAACCATGGGCTCACTCAAACTGAAAAGCAATCGGTTCAACTGAGCTTGATCCAAATTAACATTTGATTAGATTGGAAAAACTGGTCTTACATCTTACAAACTGGTCAGACTAAAAATTTCATGGAAATGCTCTTCTGACGTACTTGGCAGCTTTATTTTTAGGCGTGTCATCGACAATATTCTCACCAGTTGCTCTGGTGTCATTATAGCGGACGCAGCGATTGCACCATGCATGTGCTCATTAGTTAAATGCAATATTTGAAATTCAATGCAAAGTTTAGGGGTCATATAAACAACTCTATATGTGAAATTGGTTTGGATTCATTTTTGTCATTCTGAAAAATTATGTAAACATGCCTAATTTTGGATCAGCTGAACATTTAACCCCAAAATATATGTACATCCCTTTTCCCCCCGCATCAAATTAAATATGATGTCTTCCTGAATCTTTATTTGTAACCCTAGACTGATGGATTCAGTTCCAAGAAAACAGGCCCTTGTGTAATTATTAGCTGTAAAAAATTGCATGAATGACAATTTATGCAATGCTTCTTACTTGTCCCAATATATATATATATATATATATATATATATACACACACACACACACTCTAAACAATGCTGGGTTGTTTTAACCCAATATTGGGTAAAATATGGACAAACCCCAATGTTGGGTTAAAAATGTAATTAAAAAATGTACAGTTGAAAATGAAAATTAAAGTTGGGTTAAAATTTTAAATGACATTATTAACCCAACATTTGGGTTTGTCCATATTTGACCCAAATTTGTGTTGAAATAACCCAGCATTTTTTAGAGTGTATAATGCTCATTGCAAAGCTGCATAATTGACAATAGAAAAAGTGCAAATTACTTTATTTGTGTGAAACATCCCATCTAGATTTGATTTATTAATAAGCAACCTAAAAAGCTTTTGTTTTATGATTTATTGAATCTTGTGTGTGGATGTACTATGTACTGTTCAGTTGCAATCAGCTTTGAGTAATCGGTAGAATACAATGGAACAGCTATAGTATGAAATTGATTAAATGCATTAATGAAGTCAATATTTAATCAATCGTACGTGTTAATGCCCAAGTTTTGATCAATAACAGTGTTACATAATGTCTTCAAAACGAGACATTTCTTTTTAAGCACCCCTTCCAAATGTGAAGTTTCACACACAAAGAGGCGATTACTTCAAAAGAGCATTTTTGCTGAGCACAGTGAAGCACGTCAGCAGAACTGACAGAGCGCAGGTCCGTGTGAGGTCTGGTTTAAAATGGCTGTCAGAAAGGGAGACCCAGCGTTTAGTGTCTGTTTATAGACGTTAAGCTAGTGAACGGAGGGAGGAGTGCGGATACTACACCTTAAGGGCATTTTTCCCTCTGGCATTTTACTGGCTGTGGCGTCATACTGCTAGCAGCATCAAAACACCGGCAGCTTTTCTGAGCTGACAAGATGAAGGGAACATTAAGAGGGCCGGTGTGTTTGGTGAGAGGGCATCACCAGCGCAGGAGATACTCAAAGCTGCACTACTGCGCTGGGCTACTGCAAACAGATGAGCCATCGACAGACTTCGAAGCTTGAAAAAAGCATTTTTATGTGTATTTTGACTGTCAGTTTTTTTAGAGGCAGGATTCAGATTTGAATGAATGAAGTGCTTTGGTGGTATATGAGGGAGAGAAACTGTATACTCGTTCATTGGAGTCCTATATAGAGCCCCAGGGTTCTTGAATCAGTTTTAAAGACACTGATTTAAGCCAAAGAGGTTCTATTTGTCTCAAACGATTGCATAATTCATGTTTAATGGGTTGTAGGTTGTTATTATTATTGTAGGTTTCATAAAATTGACAGAACCTATAAAACCTTTTTTTTGTAGGAGTGTCTTGGTCTCCAACCCCAAAGCCCATTTTTAGACCATCTGATTTATGCACACAAAATGGCTAGAGCTTTCTGAAAATGCTAAAGGCCAATCTGACTTTGCACTATTTCCAAGATTCAGATGCAGAGGTTTATTATCAGTCCGCCAGAAAACAAAGTCAACTTCCCAGGCTTCTTCAATGAGAGCTTCTGAGGAAGATCTACTCCTGTGGTTAGTAACTGGTTAATATTTACATTTTTTGTTGTTTATTACAAAAATTGAAGTAATATATGCCAAATTATTCTCTTGCAGTAATCGTTCATCATCGTTGTATCATTTGGAAACCAAAGCCAAGAGGAAAGTGCTGCACTTGAGCTGTAAGGTATGGTATGATCTTCTTTTTTTACTTATTTTGTTTTCAGGAAAAAAAAAAACTTTTTTAGAAGAGTAAAAGTTAGGTAAATTAGGAAAACTTGCTGATAGATTTAGCTATTTTTAAAAAGACAAACAAAAAGTTGTTTATTTGTTTTATAGCACAAATAAGGCTAAAAAAGCAACTGCTTTTTCATTTCACCAGTCAGGTGAATAAAATATGCTAAAAGAAGACTGTGAATACAAGCAGTTCAGTGACAAGGTGATAAGAGACTGGATTTTTCTTTTTTTTTTTATTATTTTACCTGTAATATAATCTGCAAAACAAGATCTGCTCCAGACGTACGCATGTTTAGATGTAGGTTTCCACAGACTTCTCTTATCATGTTGTCACTGAATTCCTTGATTCCACTGTCTTATTAGAGCTTATATTATTCATTGTGTGTATTCATGTGTAGACATGTTCCCCTTTTCAAAAACAGCCAAATCTATTGGATATTTCTGTCATTTTCCACATAAATTAATTGGTTATGATAACAGGTATTTGTGTGTGTATATATAGTCCTCACTTTAGTAGGTTGCAAAGTGTTTGAACTTTTTATTCATCAAGTATCACGGTTTCCAATAAAATATGAAGCAGCGCAAATGTTTTCACAAATAATAATCAGAAATGTTTCTTGAGCAGCAAATCAGCAAATTAGAATTAATGTGACAATGAGTAATGATGCTGAAAATTCAGCTTTGATCACAGGAATAAATTGCATTTTAAAATATAGGTAGACAGAAAATAGTTATTTTAAAGTGCCCCTTGTTCAGATATTACCTTTCATGCTGTGTGTAATATCTGTTTATGAATGAAAAAGGTCTGCAAAGTTTTAAAGATCAAAGTGCAAGATACATTTATATTCTCTCAAAAGAAAGAATAGATTCTGAACTGCTGAAACAGGTTGTCAGTAATTCCAGTCCTCTGTAACATTCATACGCAACAATGTAACAAATTTGCATAATGCCCGCCTGTGGTCTTCATTGGCTGCAGGCGAAATACTGTAGCTGGTTTGTGTTGTGTACATGTCGAGAAGACACTGTTTTCTGCTCTCCAAAAGCAAATTCTCTTTGTAAACACTTCCAAAGGATGAGGATGTGAAGAGTCAGTGGTTAAAATGACCACAGCGATACAACTGTAACAGCTGTATTACCTTTAGAGACGATTGCTTCTATGGTTGATGCTGAAACCTTAATTCATGCATTAATCACATCACGCCTGGACTATTGTAATGCCTTATTTCTGGGTCTTCCCAAAAAACGTATTGCTAGGGTACAGTATGTTCAAAACTCCGCAGCGAGAGTTCTCACCTCTACTAGGCGCTCTGCCCACATCACTCCTCTGCTTCACGAACTTCACTGTCTACATGTGGTAAAAAGAAGTTTGAAATACGCGAGCATCGATATACTGTTAGCGAACATCTGATGCCACACACACTGCTGACTCTGAGAGCGGCGTGTTTACCAGCCGGAGAGAACTTTTCTGGAAAGTTCTCTGGCAAGTTGTTTTGAACTCCCAAAATTAAGTCCAATTAAACTTTGTTTTTTCCTGATTTTGTTCGAAATTACGTCACATCAGTTCTTTCTTCGATTTCACTTCAAGTATATCGGGGCCTTTGGAGTCTTTGAGAAATTAAGTGATGTGAAATGTATATGAGAAAACAAAGTTGTTGTTGGTTTGCAGTGTATGCAAACCTGTTATAGGAGACCTTTTTATTACCTTTAAAATAGCATAATAGGGGCACTTTAAATTGTAATAATATTTTACAATATTACTGTATTTTACTGTATTTTTGAGCAAATAAATGGTCTTGGTGAGCAGCAGAGACTTCTTAATTTTTTGTTAACGTCACTTTGCTGTTAAAGAAACATTTCTTGTTAAACAGTAGACAACCGTGCTGAGAATTCAGGGCCAAGACCGATTTGTAATCATGCCGTGCCGAACCAAGCTCACTTGGAAATATAACTGGGATCGCTCCTTGCCGTTCTTAGACCCAATCGGCCCAACAGTGGAAAAGCAGTTTTATATTTAAATACACTCTTGGAAGAAAAGGTTCTATGTAGAACCTTAAAAGGTTCTATCAGCGCTACGTATGAACCCCTAAAAGGGTCTATACAGAACCCTTCAATAATAAGAACTTTGCAACCAGGAAAAGGGTTCTATATGGAACCTTTTGGGTTCGTTTATTATCCATTGTTTTTGTCCTTTCCGGATTAAATATTTCATATTATTGACAAACATCAAGACCCTAAAATGTATTTATGAATTCATGGGAATGATCACAAAATTCAAGATATGGGGGTTAGAAAATGTATATTTATATTATTTCATGTAGTTAGTTAATCAATATCAAACGAAGAATGCCATTTCAGTTTTTCTCCTCCAAAAATCAGCATGATTAAAATGTGATATTAAGTTACTTTTAACAGTTTAATAAACAATAATTTAATTACAACTACAAAATATTGCAGAATAATGTAATATATGAATGAATAATAGCCTATAAAGAACCTTTGTGCCAAAAGGGTTCTTTCTTGTCATTATAAAACCTTTTTTAGAATAAAAGGTTTTTTAGAGTTGAGTAAAGAACCCTAATGAACCCTTTTTTTCTAAGAGTGTAGGCTACTGATATTATGAGTAGCTTGTGGCCTGGCAAATATTTTTCCATATTTGGTTCAGTGTCTTGGTCCTGGGCTTGATTCCACCCCCTGGTCCCTATTGTACCACTGAGTGCCACCATGAATACTAGTACAAGCTTTTTTACTAGGTAACCCCTCAGGACGAGATGTCAGTGTTTTATTGTTTTATTCATGTTTTGCAGCTTTGGTTTTACCACAAGAACATTACCCGCACTAGCATTTTTCTGTATTGCAAGATGGCAATTTATTTGACATTTTCAGCTTTCAGAAAAGCCTTATTATAGTAAAATGTGTGGCCTGGAACATGCAATTAAGCAAATGGTCATAATAGTGGTGCATTTCCACAGTTTCCATCTGTAAACTATACCAGAGTTCAAAAGTTTTTACAAGTTCAGAAAAACGTTTTATCAACCATCCAAACCTGAAGCCTGCATCTAAAGCTTTAGTGTGAAATCGCAATCAAAGTAGCTTCCCCAGTAGCACTGCTTGAGATGATTTTGTGTGTGGATTGCCAGTTGGTTTTGGTTTATGTTGTACATACAGTATCTGTCAGTAAATGGGAGTTTGAGCCCCAGATAGAGATACAGTCGCAAGAGCCGAGAGCTGTGAAAGCCTCCGTCGGGACACACACACGCACATACACACTGTGCTGGGACACGGACACCTGCTCAATAACGAGGGAAAGGGAGGAGAGGTTGGAGCGATGGTGGATAGACTAAATCCTTTTTTCCATCATTACCTCAGTCCCGGCCCAGCGATGGCTTCTCTTCAGAACACTCTCTGCCTTCTGCTCGTTTAATTAGTCTCAGAGCTGCTCTCTCTCTCACACACACACTCACACACACGCACTTTAGCTCTCAAATACACTTCTCGATCACTCCTGTAACCTTGCTGTTCTCTGTTAACTCAAAACCCTTCCTATGTTCCCCACATTTTCTCCATTTCTCTGTCTGCCTTTAGAAGTCACATTATACAGTGGGATCCAAAAGTCTGAGACCAAGTTGGAAATGGGGGATTTTATATTATTATTATTCAAACCTGGAAATAAACTGGAATATCTATCTATCTATCTATCCATCCATCCATCCGTTATACAAGCTACAACAATTTAAGTTCCCCTTTTTGTTTATCTCTGCTTGTCATTTTATCTATCCATCCGTCCGTCCGTCTGTCTGTCTGTTCATCTATTTGTCTGTCTGTGTTCTATCTATCTATCCTATCTATCTATCTATCTATCTATCTATCTATCTATCTATCTATCTATCTATCTATCTATCTATCTATCTATCTATCTATCTATCTATCTATCTATCTATCTATCTATCTATCTATCTATCTATCTATCTATCTATCTATCTATCTATCTATCAATTCAATTCAATTCAATTCAAATTGCTTTATTGGCATGACTGTACATATTACAATATTGCCAAAGCTTGTAACACATAGCATAGTGAAGACATCAATAAAAACAAAGTATTATAACAACTTAAATTGAAATGTACAAATTAAATTAATTGCAAAAAATAACAGTGTAACAGATTATAAATTCTATGAACGTTTGATATCACAGTGTTTTAACATACATATATACACACATACACGCATTACTGAGGGTCACTGTGGTGGACATTAGGGAAACACACTGAGGTCACACACACACACATTCACCTACTGTCTCTCAGGCTGTGGCACGCACACACGTATCTGGCAGCCAGTGCTGCGGTCTGTCCCTCTCCTAGTATTATCTTTATCTGCTCTACTTCAGTCATGGTTGTAAAGTTGTGTATTAAGTTATTAAGTTTTTTGAAGTAGAGGTCTCTGATCGAGCTGTATTTGTGGCAGTGGAGGAGGAAGTGTGTCTCTGTTTCGATCTCTCCTGTGCTACACTGAACACACACCCTTTGCTCTCGGGGTAGCCAGCTCTTTCTGTGTCTGCCGGTCTCGATGGCTAGACTGTGTTCACTCAGCCTGTACTTGCTCAGGATCTGTCTCTGCTTTGTGTCTCTCACACTCTGGAGATATTCCTCCATTTCATAATTTGATTTCAGATTTCGATAGAATTGTAGTTTACTTTGTGTTTTGGTTTCCTGATCCCAATGTTCCAGATATGTATTTTTAGACTGTTTAGTAATTTGGTTTATTCTGATGTGTGTGTGAGGAGCAGTGCTGGTCTGAGACTGGTGAGTGTTAGTACGGTTAGTCGGGTTAGTGAGTCTCAGGACCAGCTGACTGAGAAGACTCTTTTCGGGGTTCAGTTCTTGGGTCTGTAATGCTTTAAAATGTAGCGATTCTGTGGGACTTGATTTTAGATGCATCCAGATATAT